ATTTTTCACAACTATTTTGGGCAATAACTCAAAAAATATAAGAGTCCCAAAAAAAAATGAAAAATTGAGATTGTTTTTATATTTTTTATATAGTGACTCCCATAGATTAAAATGAATTTTAAAGTTTTTTTTTTGAAAAAAAAAAAAAAAAAAAAATTAATTGTAGGTTTTAGTATAAATAAATAATTGAAAATCTTCGACTCCCCACACAGAAAAATACTTAGTTACCAGTATTTATCCGAATTTTGGTACCTAAAGAAGATTTTTATTTTTGAAAAAAAGGAATTTTGAAAAGATTTAAAGGTAAATTCAGGTAGCAAACATATATACTTTAATTGATCAAATTATATATATGTCCTTAATAAAATTAAGCACTATTTTTTCCTGATTAATATTTTTCGAAATCTAAGTTTCATACTTAATTCAATTAACTACTGGGATAAATTTTTTTAGAATAAAAACACTCTCAACTTTTGAATATCTAAAATATTTTTTGGAATTAGTGTGCACTTTTTTATTTTTTTTTGAAAAATTGGGTTTGAGAAAAGTTTGAAATCAAAGAAAAGTTAATATATTAAATTAGAATGCTTTTCCAGAAAGTTTATCCTTTTAGTTTAACTTTTTTTTTATTTTACCATTTAAAACTAAAAAAAAACATTTGAAGACCAAATTAGTTCCTTTTGTGAAAAGAAAATTCCCCATAATTTAGAATATTTTTTTGTAATTGAGTTTAAACAAGATAGTGAATCTAAAAATATACATAATTTCAAGTTTGAATTCAATGATTTTGGCAAAAAATGTTTTCAAGAAAAAGCTAAATTGAAACTTTATTTATTTTTATTTTATCATTTTGTTTTTTTAATTGTATTAATGGAAAGTATTTGATCAGTTTTCCATTTTTAGTGTTTTTTGGGTCGTAGGGACATATATAAAAATTTAAAAAAAAAAAATTAATAATTTTATTGATCTTTCCGGAAATCGAACTCAGGCTAAACATTTTTCGAATTTTGAGAACTCGGTGCTCTACCGCTGAGCTAATGAGTAATTATTGGATATTTTAAAATTATAAATTTCTGAAGATAATAAAATTGAATTTTTAATTGAATAATTTTTCTAATATATTTTTTTTTTTGAAAAAAAAACTAAAAGTTTTTTGTGATGAAAAAAAAAATTTTTTTTTTTAATTGTAAAAAAATTATAAAATTTAAAATTGATTTGAAAAAAACTTATGAAAAAATTTTTTTATTTTTTTTAAAAATTCTTTTTAATTGGAAACTCTAGTAAAAATTTGTTTTTAATTTTTTAGCATTTTTTTATATTTTTCTAGTGATTATACTATCAAAGATTTGAAAAAAATGAATATTTAGATAAAATAAGATGAGTTCTAATAATTTTTTTTTGAAAATATTTGTTATGTGAATTGTTTTATTATAAATTTGAAAAAAATGAATTTTTACTAGAGTTTTCCTATTAAAAAAAAAAAATTTTTTTTAAACAAGTTTTTTCAGTGAAAATAAAAATAAAAATCATTTTTTTGAGATATTTAAAAAAATATTTTTTTTCAAAGTGACCTATTTTTAGTACATTAAAAAAATTTTGAAAAATTTTTTTTAAACACATTTTTTAAAATTTACAATTTTGAAAAAAGTCAAAAACATCCATTTTAAATTCTAAATATTTTCGAAACCACTTACCTTCATATAGTTTAAATTTGAAAACTTTATAAAAAAATCAAAATAAAAAATTTTTGAAAAAAATTTATTGTCTGAGTCAAAAGTATTTTTATATTTCATTTTATCAACTAATATTCACCATAACTTGTATATTTTTATTTTTACCTTGGAGAAAAGTGAAATAAAAATAAAAATAAATTTTTTTTAATCTAAAAAAAAAAAATTCAAAATTAAAATTTTTATAACTATTGTAGTTTAAAATATATTTTAAATATAATATTTGAGTAAATCAAAAATGAGAAAATCAAAAGAGTAGTAAAAAAAAATTTCAAAAAAAAAATTTTTATAAACCTTAATTTTCTCAATTTTTTTCACCAAAATCATATTTTTGATGAAAAATTACCCTAGTAAGATGATCTTAAAAATACCAAAAAAAAAATTATTTTTGTATTAATATGCACCTTTTTGAAAAATGAAAAATTCAAAATTTCAAAAAAAAAATTTTTTTTGACAAAAAATCGAAAATTGAGAATAACTTCTAAACTAGAGGAGATAAAGGGCTCTAAACTTTAAAAATCAATTTTTCATATTATTTTGATTTTGGAACGATGAGTAATTCGCCCAGAGTTCCGATATTTAAAAATTCAATTTTTTTCAATTTATACTTCACTACAAGGAAAATTTAAATACCTAAAATTAAAGTTAGCCAAAACTATACACTGGATTTCAGTTATACTTCTTTTATAAATTATTTTTTCAAAGTTATCATAATTTTATGTAATAAAAAAAGGATAGCTATTAAGCTCTTGAAATTTTGAATACCCCCCTTTTCAAAAATGCCGACTTTTGAAAAAAACACCTATTTTCAGGGTATTTTTTTATTGGGAAAAGTTGAAATGAATTAATTTTTGATTGAACATTAAGATTGAAAAAAGAATATATGTTAAAGCATGTTGCAGAAAACAACCAGGAATGTATATAAAAACTCAAACATGGAAAAAAATAAAATTACAAAAAATATTCCAAAAACAGATAAAAAATCAGATTTTCAATTTAATTTAGCAATATCTTTTGATTAAAATATTTTGTGCTATTTTCAAATTGAAAAATATGTTTCCTTTTAGACTATTAAAAAATACTTGAAATTATCGCTCTACTAAGTCAATTAAAAAATTCAAAAATTTTACAATTAAAAATGAAAAAAATATTACTGAAAAATTTCATTTTTTTTTCAATTCCTATTAATATCTATTAAAGTTGTAAACCTCATTGAAATTTGTTATGTATAATAATGTTTATTTTAAGAGTGTATTTCAAAAATACAAAATTTAGAGATTTTTTTTTGAAAAAATTTTCCTTGTAGTGTTGTGTACCCCTGGAGTAGTGAACCAAATATTAAAATAAAAATTTTGATATTATAATAGATAACTACAAGTACAGTCAGTTTCACTTTTAAGGCACAAACTTTCAACGAAATTTAAAGCACAAAAAAATTTCAAATTAAGGCACAAAATTTGGAATTTTAATTTTCACAAATTATTTTACTAGAATCTGAATTTTGTGCCTTAATTTGAGATTTTTTTTGTGCCTTAATTTTCGTTGAAAGTTTGTGCCTTTAAAATGAAATTGACTGTATTAAAAATATTTTTCTTTAAATTTTGATTTTTGATGGGCCAATGATTTTGAATGATAGTTTACTTTTAAAAAAAATTAAGTGAAAGTGCCTTTAAAGTGTAATTTACACTTATTTGATAATAAAAAAAAAACAAATATTGTAAAAAATATAAACAAATCAAAAACCCAAAAGAAATAAACAGAGTTCCCAAAATAATTCCATTTTTGGAATTTTTAGAATCTCAAAAAATAAAAATTTGGAATTATAATATTAAAATGATTCCAATGGAATCAATTTTTATCAAACGTTTTTCACTTGTTAAAGTATCTTTGAAGTCTAATTTTTCAAAAACATTGTAAATTATTTTATTCTTATTCAATAAATCAAAAAAGAATTTTTATTTGTTACCAAAACTCTATTAAAAAAAAAAAAAGAATGTTTTGATTCAATTTCAAAGAAAAAATTTTTTCTAATCATAGAGAAACTTAAAAAACTTCAGGATTGATGACAGGATGACGAAAACTAAAATCCCAAGAAGAAAAACCTTAAAAATTAATTTTTTTTTTTGAGAAATATAAAATTCTTTTTGAATTAAAAAAAACTTAATAATTATTAAATTTTTAAGAATGAAGTGTGTCCCTTGTAAAATCAAATGTAAACAATAAATGAGTTGAGACTTATCATAGGAAGAAAAAATAATCCTTTGATTAAAAGAATCAAAAAAAGAATTATTTTGGTTTTTTTTCAAAAAAGATTTGAAATGTGAACCCTGGAAATAATAGAAAAAAGTAAAAACTTCAGTGAAACGTTTTTTTTTGTGCCCCAAGTGTTGATTGGGTTGGTGTTTGTTTCCTTTTGTCTTGATTTTTTTGTAAACTATTTGTTGTAAAATAAAAAGATCAAAATTTTCGTTCATCTTTCCAAAAAAAGAGTTTCTTCAATCATGTAACATTTCAAATTTAGAACTCAGTAAACAATATTAATTTATTAATTTCCCCTTTTAGAATTGGTGTGACTTTGGTTGATTTGTTTTATTTCTGGTGATTTTATTTTGAAAAGTTGATGGAAAATTTTGATCTTTTTATTTTGCAATTAACAGTAGCCACGATAGTTTGTTTTTAATAAAGAGTTCTAAATATTTGAACAACTATAGATCAAATGAAATTTGTTGTTTATTAAATTTTGATTTTAAACTTTATAGATGGGTTGAATAGATAAAGTTATTGAGTTACTAAGAATAAGAATTGGATTTAGAAATATTCTTTTAGGTTGCTTTAATTTTTTTTTTTATTTTTATTTTTTATTTTTTTTGCAAGTTCTCCAAATCTTGTTTTCACAAATCCCAGTACAAGATACCGACTCTACAACAAAAATCCAGTCCAATTAACTACTCTACAGAGAGTTCGGAAAGTTCAATTCGGTTCACTTTGGTTTGTACTAGATCGCATTCGTTGGGTTCAGTTATCTCAGTTGCATAATTCCAGTTCGATTGGTTTTAGATCTGATTATGAACAAGTTTGGTTAGCTTAGTCATGATCACCCAGTCTATCAATTCTAATAATTATTTTTTTATTCCTTTTACCTTCCCCCAAACACCCAAAAAAGTAGAAAAAAAAAAAAAAAAACCTCAAAAAAACTTAAAAAGGGAAATTTGGAAAAGGTAAAAAGGTTCAAAAATTATAAATAATTAAAATAGAATAAAAAAATATGGATGCATACTGAGGGAATCGAACCCCCGGCCTTCCGATTAGAAGTCAGATGCTACTACCGCTGAGCTAAATATGCTTCTTTCCAATATAAAAGATTTTTTACACTTAATAATGTGATTATTAAAAGAAATCTCATTTTTTCAATTATAGCAGTGAAAAAAATACCTGACATGGAAAAAATGCCTGAACAAGATTTTTAATTGTAAGTTTTAGGAAAATTTTTGTGTAATTTCATTTATTTTTAATCAAATCCTTTTATTAAATAACCAATTTGTTTGTGAGATAAATAATATACTAGCCAAAGTTCATCAAAGTAGGGTTTGTCTCTAAAATACTCGAGTTATTGTTTGATAACCGAAGTAGATCAACTTTTTTTTTGAAAAACAATCGAGTTTTATAGAGCTTTACTAGAGTTTGGAAAATGATAATTTTTATTCTTGTTTTTTGATTGATTGAATGGTGTTTTGAACAATTGTGATTTCTTTAATAATCATTCTAATAAGTGGGTGAGTTATAATTTAAAAAGTTTGATTCTTAAAAATAGGATTTTATCGTAAATAAATGAAATTACATAAAAAATTTTAGAATATTCAAAATTAAAAATCTTGTTCAGGCATTTTTTTCATATCAGGTATTTTTTTTACAACTTTAATATTGTTTTCTTTTGACTTTTTAAAACTTCTCTTTTAGTTTCTTCATTTTATTTTAGTTCTTTTTTCAGTGTATTAAAGCTTAAGAGGAAAAAATTATGATACATTTCAAGGATCTAAGAAGATCTGTAGTGGGTCATAAGGAGGTAGTTTTTTTTCAAATTTTATTTAAATATATCTATAAAAGTTTTCTTGTAACAAGAGAGATCTGATGAGCCTCGATGTCCACTTTTGTGATTTAATTTTTGAAAAATTGGAAAACTAATTTGGATAAAAAAAAAAAAACAAGTATCGAGGAATTATGTCCTTAAATAAAAAAATAATTGATAAACTACAAAAATTGGTTATTTTTTAGATAACGTACATAATTTCTACTTAACTAATATTTGGTTCTAAAATATTAATATTTATATATATTTTATACTATTCGTTTTCGTTTTTTTTTTTTTCGGTTTTTTTTTTGTTATTTTAATTTTATTTTTTCACTTGAGTGTGTTATGTCGTTATCCCCCCTTTAAAAATCAGCAAATCAATCGTCTCAAGTTTCTTATGTTTATTTATATTTTCTTAATTATTTTTTTCTACTTGATCTTTCTTAAAAAAAGAATCAAAATAAAAATATACTTAAGGGATTAGCGTCACCATAGATATCTCTATAATCAAAATATGTTGTAATTGTGTGTAAATGATATAAGTGCACCATGGTTCAAATGGCTCTTAAAAATCTATTAAAAATATTATTGAACAATAAATTATCTGATTTTTTCTTAATGATCACAATTAAAAAAGTTTCATTTTGAAAAATTTTTTTAATTCCTTTTACAAAACTAAAAATCGAAACTCAAAATAATAATCTTTATAGTATTTAATAATTTATATTTAGAACTTCCAAAAGTAACTATTTTTATAATTTTTGAATTTCAAAGATTAACATAATGAGTAACACCAAAAAAGCACAAAGACTGATTAGTTTTGTTTGTTTTTGATAAAGCTACTTGTAGAATCAATATATTTCCATGATTTGAGAAATAATTTATCAAAAAAATTTATTGGTTAATTATTTAATTTTTAAAAAAAAACAAATTTTTTAGTAACTAATCTACATTTTGCCACAAATTTAAGAAAGATATTTTGTGACTTTGTAGTCTGAATATTGATAATTCAACCTTTAAATTTATGGCAAAATGCCGATTATTTTTCGAAATTGCTGGGTTTTTGTAAATTCACAGAGCATTTTTAATTGAGGAGGATCAACAAATATTACTACTTTACTAATAGATTTTTTAGAGACATTTGAACCATGTAACACTTATGTAGTTACGTTCAATAACAACATACTTTGATCCTAGGCTTCTCCTTGTTAGACGCTAATCCCTTAAAAGTTAAAAAACGAAAAAGAGAAAAAACAAAAACCAAAAAAAGAAAGAAAAAGAAAAAAAAAATCAATAAATGATTTTATCTGTAAATTTGAAAAAGCAAAACAACTATTACAATTTAAATCTCCTTGATTATCAAAATCCGATGAGTAGTTTTGGAGATCTCAAAAATAGTCACATTTTTTCAACAAATTTTTCATAAAAACAAAAAAACAAAAGAAAAACAAAAAAACAAAAGAAAAACAAAAATTTGAAAATGCAAAATTAGAAAAAATTTGCAAAAATTAGAAAAAATGATTCTGATCCAAAAATTTGAAAATATATTTTTAAGAAGAATATGAGACAAAACCTGAACATTCAACCCCCATTAACATTATTAAGTGAGTCAAAATTTTTGAAAAAAGTGTTGTAGTGGATAATTAACACTTCTCTTTTTCTTTAAAGATAATAATTTAGATAACGAAATGAAATTCATGATTATTGTTTCTGAGGCGCTGAGGTACTCAAAATCTGTTAAATGTGCATATCTACTGAGAATAAAAAAGTACCTTTTTGGCAAAATAAAATATTTTAATCTTTGGATAAAGGATCCTATTCACTTTAACCAATATGAAATGATAACATTTGTGGTGTATAAGAAGAATTCATTTGGTAGGTGGATCCTGAAAATGAATTGGAATTTTTAAATAAAAGTTAAAATAAATAAATGATAAAAAATATTATTATTTTTTTCGGAGAAATGAATTTATTTTTAAGGAAATTGTGAAATTTTCATTAAATAGAGTCAGCAATTTTGTTAAATAATAATAAAATAAGTAAAAGAAAAAAAAAATAAAAATAAAATCAATAGATTTCTGAAATTAAAAAAGAGAAATATTCATATATATATAACTCTAAAAAAAAAAGCTTTTATTTTTTTAAATGGTTTTATTCTTAAAGATTTTGCTCATTTGTTGTACCTACGTTAGAATCAAATAAGTTATTTGTTAGATTAGGGTTGTCCATTCCCATGTTATTGTCCATTCCCATGTTGTTGTTCATTCCCAAGTTATTTTCTATTCCCATGTTGTTGTTCATTCCCAAGTTATTTTCTATTCCCATGTTATTGTTCATCCCCATGTTATTATCCATTCCCATGTTATTGTTCATTCCCATGTTCATCGTATTATCTAATGGTCCTTGATAATTGATATTGAAATCTGGATTTGTTTTGTTTTTTTTTTCGGATTTAGATGATGATGATGAACTACTACTACTACTACTACTACTAGAAAAACCAGTTTTTAGTGGTTCGATAATAGGTTTAGGTGGTATGTATTCTGTTTGATTAGATCCACTAAGAATTGGTGTCCTTTTTTTATAACGAAATGAAGACCTTTTGTAACAACATAGTGTGATGACACCAATTATAAAGCAAAGCATACCAGGAATCCATAAAAAGAGAGTCCATAGCCAAGTTGATACAGGATCAAACAGAGTTGATAATGAATTTTTTTCTTTAGAATACCAACAAGGATATGTTTTATGAGTATCTTTTTCATCGTAATATTTTGATTTGTCAAGTGATGAGAGCTTTCGACATTCTGTATAAGTTCTAGTTAAAAATCCGCATCGAGTTATCTATTATAAAGTCAACAAAATTGATAAAATATTAAATATATATATAGATTAATAATTTCGGATTTTTAAGTGTGATTGATCACTCAATTCAAAAAATTAGAAACAATTTTATTGAAGAAAGAGAAATTTATTAAAAAATTTTAGATAATTGTCTCAATATCTCTTAAATGGTCAAAAAAAACGCCATTTCAAAATGAATAGCAACCAGCAACAGCAATAATAATGAAATTGATTTGCATAAACTAACCAATTGTCAATAATATAACAATAATTGGGTTGTTTAGGATGAAAATGGGGATGTTGAAATTTTATAATTGATGAAAAAGAATTCTTTTTTTTCTTTTATTCCGAAGGGTAGAAATTAATTTCCTCTTACAGCCGTTAGGTTTTCCAGAATTTAAAAGAATTGAGTAAAATCTTATATTTTTCTCTATTCTTTTGAATCCTGGAAAACCGCCGTTCGGTTTTTTTTTGCTTTTTGAAATAAAAAGAAAATTTAATTAATTTTCTTTTCATTTCAAAAATTAAAAAAAACCGCCATTAGCTTTTCTTGAGTTTTCTGTTTATTTGTGAAGTGTTCTAGGTTTTTTTGAGTTTTCTATTGATTTTCCAAATAAATAGAAAACTCAAAAAACCTAACGAAAATCAATAGATTTTACAAATAAAACAGAAAACCTCAAGAAAAGCTAGGCACTCTACGGCACTCTACGGCACTTCCCTAATTTCTAAATTTTTGTTTAGAAATTTCAAGAAAGAATCATAATTCTCTTTATCATTAACTAATGACAAAATAAATAATGGGTCTTTATTTCGAATAATATCAAAGATATTATTCTTATTATTTTTGTTAATTTGAATTAAATCTTTAATCAAAATTATTCGATTTTCTTTATAGAATGGGCAGTAAAAAGAATTCTTTTTGTATTCCGTTTCTTTGATTAATTTTGTTTTTATTACATTTTCCAAAAAATTACTTTTTAGTTCGGGTTTTATTTTAAAAGTTTGTTCAAGTATTGGAGATTAATTGTTTGTTTATTTTGGAAAATTGTTCAAAAAAGTTTTAAAATTTCAGAAATAAACAAAGAAATAAATGTTGAAAAATTAAAAATAGTTATTTAGTTTGTAATCAAAAAATGCTTTTTTATGAATTCTTAATTAAATTGATAAAATCTGTACTTTTTTATAATATAACAAGAGATAGAAAAACTTGTTTAACAATCAAAATTTAGATTAATTTCTGATCATTTTATTTATTTTTTTCTTCAACTTGAAACAAAAAAAAAAAAAAAAAATAGGTAATCTATCGGTCATTTTTTTAATATTTAGCAAAGTTTATATAAATAATAACAAAATAAGATTAAAATAATGATGATACTTAAATGTTATACAATTGGGTATAATTATTTAAAATATATAAACAAGAAATATCT